CAAATCCAGACAATATATAAACCCCCGACTAACAAACACAGAGGACTGATAGACGGAATAGGCTCGATAGCGAAAACATTGTTCGGAACAATGGACGCGAACGATGAAAAGCATATTAACGAACAATTAAATTTATAAAATACAATCGAATATTTGACATATATACGCAAAGGAGCAATGCATCAAAAATTAATGCCGATAGAAACGATTATTACACATTTAAAAGAAGCGACGAAACAATTACAACTAGGAAGGTATTTCCCGTTCAAAGTTCACGCGGAAGATTGGCTAGCGATAGAAGAATGTACCAAAATAAGCGCGTTTTACGATAAAAGAAATGTTTATACCATATTGCGATTCCCATTAATTACACAACCGAGTTACGATATTATAAACGTAATTACATTTCCCGTACCAATGAATAATAACATATTTACTGTAACCAAAACAAATAATAAAATAATTGCTGTAGACAAGGAAAAATTAACTTATCTTAGAATAACGGAAAGCGATTAAAAAAATTGTATAAAAATAAATTCCCAATATACGTGTGAAAATACGATACCGATATATCGCATGAATCAAAACGCACCGTGCGAAATACAAATGTATACACTATCACGACAACACAATTGTAACACACAATTGATAAGCTCGAAAAATGCGATCTGAACAACACTACGACAACCGCACACTTGGTTATATGCGACCGCGACCGACCAACAGATAACGATACAATGCGATAATCGACACGAACAAAAAAGAATAATTAAATATACAGGAAAAATTACATTAAAAGGAAAATGTAAATTAACGACAACAGATATGACGATACAGTTAATAAAAACAGTATACAAACAAATATAGAAACCTATTTACCAGAAATAAACATCACGTTTCTACAGATATACAAGACGCATGATAACGACACACTAGAAAACGTAACGCTACACCGAACAGAACTAATAAAATTAAAAAATAAACTAGAAGAATTAAATAATAATCTACAAGACAACGAACAGAACTTCTTTACTCAAAAACAATTTGTTTATCCAATGGTTACAGGCGGAATCATAACAATAATTATAATGGCCATTGTAACATATATAACTATAAAAAATAAAAAGAGGAGAATGAAACGACCATCGGTCAGGATATACGATGAAGAACCACGTATATCCTACATGGGGAAATTAAAATGAAACACCCTGCGTATCCATCCCAACACATGTTGGTTCATATACATTTCCTAAACATATTGAATGGTTAGATAGATAGATAGATATGGTCTTTATTGACTCCCCTATGGGGTTGCAATTTTTACACTCTACAATTTTTAATTTTTCAATTATTTCTCACACTTTCTTACAGCCCTTTACTCTCATCACCTCTTCTTCTCCCCCTCTTGACAGCTCTCCTCCCTACACCCTTCTGTCTCTCTCTTCCCCACCTTATCTTTCTTTCCTCATCCCACTTCCCCTCTTTCCCATCAACCCATAGTCTCATATTATTTACCACCGCGCACCTTTCTTTTCTCTCTTCCTCTGTGCTCTCTTCTATCCTTTTTCTTCGCTCTTTCCTCCTCTTCTTCTCTCTTCCCTTGCCACCTTTTCTCTCGACATTCTCCCTTCTCCTCCTCTCACTTTCTCCTCTCCCTTTCTCTCTTCCTTCTCTTCTTCTCTCTTCCAAGTCCCACCAGAATTTCCTTCCTTACTCTCCGTCCTGTCAACTCCTGCCTCCTTTTCCTGCATCTCCTTTCCTCCTCCACTGCTGTCGTTGTTCTCCTCCTCTGTTCTTTGAAACCCTCCTTGGTTTCAAATTCTCCCTTTATACCTCTCACTTCTTCCAGTAGCTCCTTCATCCATTCTTCTCTGTGCACTGTCGTCTCTTTCTTCTTTCTCCTTTTCCCTTGATCTCTCCTTCTCTTCTCTCTTCTTCACCGCCGTGCGCTTTCCCCTCTAACTTCCACGCCACTTCCTCCTCTCCTACTCTCACTACCCGCTTCCGATTCGCCTGGTCTTTCTTTCGCCGTTCCTCTCTTCCCCCTTTGACTCCCGTTTCCGTGTCAAACCACCATGTGCTCGATCCACTTCCATTAACCCGCGCCACCTCACACCATGCTTCCGCCTTTTTCATCTTTCTTGTCCGATCCTTCCTGTCTCTTTTGCTCTTTTGCTCTTTCACTATCACTTTTCTAAATTCTTAATCCTTTCTTGAGTTGTGCCACACTTCTGTCTGCTTAACCTCTCTTTCCTCCGCATGCTCGATCCTTCCGCTCCCCCTATCTTGCCTCCTACGTCTTCCTCCGCCGTTCCTTCTTCACTCTTTATGGTAACGATCTGTATTATCCACTCTTTCATCTTCCTTATCGGTCTACTCTCTGTCCGTTCATTCTCCCAATTTTCTCACCGTCACTTACTACGTGCTCTTCTTCATCCTTTTCCTCTCTCACTCTCTCTCTTTCTCTCTTCTCTTATGGTAACAATCTGCATTATCCACTTCTTCATCTTCCTTATCGGTCTATTCTCTGTCCGCTCTTTCTCCCAGTTTTCTCATCGTCACTTCCCACGTGATCTTCTTCTTCCTTTTCTTCTTTCACTCTCTCTCTCTCTTCTTCTTCCTAACCTCCAATTTCTTTTTCCTTTCCTTCCTTCCCTTTTTGTGGTCTCTCCTCGCCCCTTCCTTCCCATACTCCTGCTTGTTCCTTTTCTTTAGCCCTTCTCATTTATCCTCCCCCGCTCCTTCCTCTTTCACTTCACTCCTTTTCCTTTTCCCTTCTTTAGCACACTTNACGGAAGTCCCAGCAATATTCATATTAATATTGCTATTAAAATTTATAGTGACATAACATTATTTAATTATTTATCAATAGAACAATCAAAAATATTTTTAATTGTATTGATAAACAATTTTTCCAATACAATTTTAATACAATAAAATCAATTTTTAATAATAATTAATAATATATAACTAACATATTCTAGTTTTGGTACTTATTTCTCAAAACATATATTATTGCTACACTTTCTTTGGTAATACCATGTTTCCAATAAATATTAATGTTGAAATAAAAAATTAACATGAACGTTATTTATATATGTATATGTACAATATTTATAGTTATATATAACATTATTATAATTTTGATACAATAAATTAAATTCTTTATATGTATATGTATAACTTTATATGTATATGTATGAATTACAAAAAATATTGCACTAGTGATGTCTGAGACTGATAATGTTAGTTCTATTAATACAAAATATAGTAATCAAGATATAGTATTGGATGCAAATAAAAATGATATTTGCATCAGTGTAAAAAAGGATAGAAATTTAAATGCAGTGGATAATAATGCTGCACATTGCAATATTGAGGTTAACCATAAGGAAGATTTAAGATTACAAAGTATGAATATCTCTTGTTAATAGAGAATACTTACAACATGTATTATAAAATAAAATAATATCTTTTTTAAATATAAATTTAATATTACACAGTCCATTTATATATATGTACAATATTTATAGTTATATATAACATTATTAATTAAAACGGACTAAATATATACGAAAAATAAAACATAATATGAAATAAATATATAATAAAATAATATATATAGTAAATATAATATTATAAAAATATAATACATTTTGTTATAACGGAATTAAAAAGTCGCAATAAAATGTTAAATAGTCGCGCATTTTTTATCCTTCATACATCGCAGTATTTACAAATAAATCGAGTTATAATTAAAAGTCAATACAATAAGAATAAATTTTAACATTACTCATCTGGAAATAAGATGGATGTATAGGGAGCGGTGCACTTGGACACAATACAATTGGACACGGTGCAAATGGACACGTTGCAAATGGACACGAAACTTTGCATACGGTTCAATTGGACACAGTGCATTTGGACACAGTAGCTTTTGGACACAGAAGAAAATTCATTTGGACACCGTTCAATAGCACACCGGTCAGTTGCACACCGTTCAGTTGCAGGACACGAAACTTTGCACACGGTTCAATTGGACACAGTGCATTTGGACACAATAATTTTGGACACAGTAGCTTTTGGACACAGAAGAAAATTCATTTGGACACCGTTCAGTAGCACACCGGTCAGTTGCACACCGTTTAGTTGCACACCGTTCAGTTGCACACCGTTAATTTGCCCACCGTAGTTGTAAAGCGAGGTCCCTGCCTACCGGCGGGGTGGGTGCGGGAGAGGGGCCAAAGGTCCCCCTTGTTGACCGGTGTGCAACTGAGCTGTGTGCAATTGAGCGGTGTGCAATTAAACGGTGTGCAGTTGAGCGGTGTGCAATTGTGCAGTGTGCAACTGACCGGTGTGCAACTGAGCGGCGTGCAATTGAGTGGTGTGCAACTGAACGGTGTGCAACTAAACGGTGTGCAACTGACCGGTGTGCTACTGAACGGTGTCCAAATGAATTTTCTTCTGTGTCCAAAAGCTACTGTGTCCAAAATTGTTGTGTCCAAATGCACTGTGTCCAATTGAACCGTGTGCAAAGTTTCGTGTCCATTTGCAACGTGTCCATTTGCACCGTGTCCATTTGTACTGTGTCCAAGTGAAGGCCACTCGATGTATATACGCTCGTTGGAGAAAAGAAGCAAAAAACCTGAAAAAGAGAAAAATTATATTTGGAGTGTATCATGATTCGCGCCTACCAATTACATAGCGTTATTTCTAAATTAAAAGTGAGTCGAAAAGTTGTGAACCATTATTTTCTGCGATGCTTAACGAAAGAGGAATTATTAAATAAATGTCACCCTATTAGCGCAGTTCTTTAGACAGATATACAAACGTGAACCGCGCGTCGAATTGAATGTAGCCATGCATACTGCTCGATATGCGGGTCACTAAAGCCCGTTTCCCACGATGCGATTTTTCGTGTTGGATAGCATGCGTGCTGCCCTGCGCTCTACATTGCTTGAAGCTAAGCTGAGCGCGCTGCAGGTTTTCGCTTTACACGGAGCGAGGTGCGAAGCTAGCTTAGCGGATGGAACTGACAATAATTTGTGCGCTGCTCCTAAAAAAAAATTGTTATAAAATGGACGCTGTGCGCAGGAAAAGTTTAGGAGCACTTTCTCTTTTATTAATTTTAGAAGTGGAAAGAAAGCGTCATGAAACACGACAAAGAAGATCTTGGACGAAAAAATGGTTGGCGAGAAGAACGGAGAATAATCGTGGAGTTTTTAATATGTTGTTTGAAGAACTAGGGTATGTAATAACTTTTTTTTTGCATGATATAATTAAAAATGCGACTGAAATTAACCTCAGAAAACGAAACATGGAATACACAGCAGTTTGACATTTAAACACTTTTTATTTTAAATAGGCCTGAGGATCCAAGGTCATTCCGGAATTACACGCGGATGGATGAAGAAGTTCTGGAAGAATTGTTAGCTGCAATTACACCGCTTATACAAAAGCAAGACACCGTCATGAGAGAAGCAATTACCCCACGCAATAGGCTTGCAGCTACATTGCGTTTTCTTGCCACAGGCAACACATTTGTTGATTTGTCTTATTCGATTCGGATTGCTCACAATACCTTATCGCGCTTAATAATTGAAACTCTAAAAGCAATTGTGATCGTGTTAGAAGGGAAGGTATTGATATGTCCTTCAACCTCTTCAGAGTGGGAAGCTTCCGCAGGACAATTTCATGCACAGTGGCAATTTCCTCATTGCATAGGAGCTCTGGACGGCAAACATGTAAATTTCAGACCACCAAGAGCTGATAGGTCTTTCTACCGTAATTATAAAAACATAGACAGTATCATTTTGCTTGCCCTTGTAAATGCGAACTATCAATTTTTATTTGTGGACATTGGTTGGAATGGACGCATGCATGACTCTTCTGTGTTTCAAAAAAGTGTCTTCTCCCAACATCTTTCTTCTGGTGCACTAAATTTACCAACACCACATCCCCTGCCTGGAGGAAATGTGTCTTTACCATATGTGATTGTAGCTGACGATGCTTTTCCATTGAAATCGAACATTATAAAGCCATACCCTGGACGTAACCTGACTTATGATCAAAAAATATTTAATTATAGATTGAGTAGAGCACGCAGAGTTGTAGAAAATGCCTTTGGCATACTGGTCAACCGCTTTCGCATTATGTTGAATATTATTCCTCTTTCTGTGGAAAAGATGGAGCTAATAGTTTACACATGTTGTCTGCTCCATAATTTTTTGATTCAACGTAATGTTCAGTAGTATATTTCTGCAGAACGTCTACAAGAATGTGTACAGTCAAATTTACAAAGTGTGCAACAGCAGAGTGGGAATCATGCTATAAACAAGATCATGTCAACTTTATCACGTGATCTAGTCGCTAGTTCTCATTGGCTAATATAGTGCCTAGCAGCAAAACACGCAGAGAAAATAGCACTCGTTCTATCACGTAAAACCGTCAGCACTGCACGCAGCGCTATTCGCAGCAAGCAACTTTTCTCGCTGCGTAGCCTGCACGGTGGCTGGCAGAGCTCCTCGCAAGTAAACTTGCACGAAAAATCGCATCGTGGGAAACTAGCTTTACATATGTCCATTTAAAAAATCGCATTGACCTTTAATTAATAATTCCTCTTTCATTCAGCAACGCAGAAAAAAATGGTTCAGGACTTTCCGACTCATTTTTCATTCAGAAATAGCGCTACGTAATTCGTGAGCGCGAATTATGATATACCCTGTGTAAAGCGTATTAAAATAAACTTTGATTTTTAAATGGAGAGAATCTTTGTAGAAAAGTACAAGCAAAACCGAAAATAGATTTAATATAAAGGTTAAATGCCTCTTTTTACCAATATGATTTAAACGTAATAGTGATTAACTTGCAGAATGACAATATTAAAATTTTTAACAATATAATTATATATATGAATTATGTATATGATAGACATTTTTTTAAATTTTGATATTATCGTTCTGCAAATTAATAAACGATTAAGTTGGTAGAAAGGTGAAAAAATGGCATTGAAAAGTGCCGATTGAGAAGTGGTTAAGAACCTGGCGCTGAAAAGTGCCGATTCTCCGAGTCGATTCAACGTAATCGTTTAAAATGGCACTGAAAAGTGCCGATTGGTTTCTTCTTTCTTCTTCTCTCGTCTGTTGCGGACATCTTCCACATGGTTTCCTGAGAATTAAAATATTTGTATATATTAATTACAGCATTTTCATTGGAATGTAACTATATTTAGAGAGAGAATTCCGTTAGTATACATCTCACGATTGGACACTTACCATTCATATCGACCGGTGCTTAGGGATTTTCACTACACCACGATTGATAAATCGAGGCTGCGTTCAGAAACATCACCCGTGTGCATACCATAGACTTATAAAGATAGACTGCACGTCTCTGTCGAAAGACTGTCTTAAACATTAGAAAGAGAGAGCGATAGTGGTCGGATCTCTTTCTCTCTCGCACAGTTGAAGGAAAGGGGATATCGCGGTTGGCGGAGAATGAACAGTTTGCAAGTATATGCGCATTTTCCTCGCTTCTCCGTTCATGCTTCGCCAGCCGCGATATCTCCTTTCCTTCAACTGTGCGAGAGAGAAAGAGATCCGACCACTATATCTCTGTCCTTCAATGTTTAAGACAGCCAGACCGTAAGAGCGCGCAGTCTATCTCGATAAATCTATGGTGCACACGGGTGATGTTTCTGAACGCGGCCTAGGGAAGTCTGTCCAATCGGGACATGGACACGCATACACAACACGTATACACACACAACCGATGTCATTTAAATAATATCTATTAAGGGGATCCTAAACTGACGGGCGAACTTGTGGCGTTCCTGCGGCTGAATTCAAAATCATTTTTGTTACCAACTTCATGAAATATATTTGTAACCATTTTCACACATTTCATTTATTGATTTAACACTTTACATAACAACACATAAAACATACGACAAATTATGTAACATCCATTCGTTCGTTCATTGACCATCAATCTGTACACATCTCACTTGTGAATTAAATATTTTATTAGTAAAAAGGAAAGTCTAGTGATTTAACTATAACGCTACCACAACTGGTGACCCCGACGTGATAACGGGCTTTCGAGAATTCACGTTCAAGTGTGGCGAATTTGAATCAGTGATCCGCGAATTTAGTGAGCCATCGAGTTTCGAGTTCCGCTGTGATTCTTGTGTGATTTGCAATAAATTGAATTTTTAATATGTGCCCAGATAGCAATTTAATAACAAATTGTCGCCAAATTGGCATCAAATTCGGTCAAAATTTGGTAACAAATCCGGTGCCATCTGTGTCCGCATTAAGTTTGTGTTTTGGTGACAAAGCTTGCTGACATAACCTG